CTTTCTTTGCTTCTCCTGTTAATGTTTTATAGTCATCTTAATTCGTATGATTTCACTCATTCATAGTTATTCTTTGCCCGAAAATACCGAGTGGAAATAAAGCCGAAAATAAATGTGGGGGGAGAAGGGGGGGGGGTAAACGAGTAACGAAACAAAGAAAAGAGATGAAAGAATGAAATGTATACAAACCTGGAAGAGGGATAGGAACGGAAGGAAAGGCGTAGCATGGGGATAGATCGCCGGCGAAAGGTGATCGATAGCACCTTTGTGAGAGCGGCGTTTGATCTGACTTCTGGGACGGGAGGGAGAGGGAGAGAGGGAGAGGGAGAGGGAGGGAGAGGGAGGGAGAGAGGGAGAGAGGGAGAGAGGGAGAGAGGGAGAGAGGGAGAGAGAGAGAGAGAGAGAGAGAGAGAGAGAGAGAGAGAGAGAGAGAGAGAGAGAGAGAGAGAGAGAGAGAGAGAGAGAGAGAGAGAGAGAGAGAGAGTTGCTGTCTTAAGCCCAATTCCGGGAGAATGAGGTTCCTTATAAAATGACCAACATAATTCTTGTTAGCTCATAGTTCACGATTCACAAAGTCTACTTCCTCATTTTATAGTGTTCCCCGCCTTCCACTCTACATTTATTGATATTATATTTGCTGTTGTTATCACCGTTATCGTCATCAACTGTCATCATTTTCTTTATCATTATCATCACTGTTATCATCATCATCATCATCACCACCCACCCATTTATTCCTTCAGTCCCCTCTTCCCCTCCCATCCGCCTCCAGCGGCACCACCACCTCTTTCATTGATTCCGCCCCCCCACCCCCCACCCCCGCTTCCCCTCTAGACCCACCATCCCCCCACTCCCTCCCCCTCCCTCCCCCTCTTCCACCGCCCATCTACTTTGCCAACCACGTCCCTTTGTCGCCCCCTCCCCTCTCCCCCTCCCCTCTCTACTCACCTCTTCCCCTCCCTCTCTACTCACCTCTTCCCCTCCCCTCCCCCTTTCCTCTTTCTCCTCCTTAGCCTCTCCCCTCTCCCCTATCTCTCCCTTTTCCCTCGGCTCTACCTTCTCCCTTTTCCTTACCTCTCCCTTCTCCCTCTTTCCGTCCCAGGCTCGTTCTTCTCCGTTGTGATCTTTCTCGCTCCCCCCCCCCTTTTCTCTCCCTCTTCCTTTTCTTGTTTATCCCTTCTCTTCGTCCTTCTTCTCCTGTCTTTCCCCCTTTTTTCGCATTCCCTCTTCCATCCTTATTGTTTTCTGCTTCCCTTCTGTTCCCTGCTTCTTCCTTATTTCCTTGCATATATTCCATCTCCCCCTGCAAAACTGTTCTGAGTGTTCTCTTTTCCTATCTTTTCATTCACTTATTTCCTTTTTTTCCTCCTTTTTCCCTTCTCCTTTCCTTCTTCCCTCCTGTCCTTTCTCTTTCTTTCTTTTCCATATCATCTCTCCCCCCCTCTCTACTATTCTCTTCCTCATCCCCTACCTTTCTCTCCCCCTCCCCTATCTTCTTCTCCCCTTCCTCTACCTTCTTCTTCCCCATCTTTCCCCTCCCTTTCCTTTCTCCCCTATCTTTCTCTCCCTCTACCCTACCTTATCCCCACTTTCCTTAAATTTCTTTCCCCATCCCTTCCCACCCCCTCCCCTATATTTTCTCCCCCTGCTCAACCTTTCTCTCCCTATCTTTTTGTCGCCCTCCCTTACCTTTCTCCCCTCCCCCATCTCTCCCTTTCTCTCGCTCTCCCCTATCTTTCTCTTCCTCCTCTCTCCCTTTCTCTCGCTCTCCCTTATCTTTCTCTCGCTCTCCCTTATCTTTCCCTTCCTCCTCTCTCCCTTTCTCTCGCCCTCCCTTACCTTTCCCTTCCCCCTCTCTCCCTTTCTCTCGCTCTCCCCTACCTTTCTCTCGCCCGCTGTTGCAGGTGAGGCTTCTGGGCTGAACACTGTGCTATATATAGATCCACATTTTGGAGTGAGAGGCAATCCAGGCACTCCCACGCCTTCCGCTCCCCACTCCTCCGCCCCCTCTCACTCCTCCCCTCTCACTCCTCTCTCTCTCTCTCCCGTCCCCTCTCACTCCTCCCCTCTCACTCCTCTCTTTCACTTCTCTCTCTCACTCCTCTCTATCTTCCGTCCCCTCTCACTCCTCCCCTCTCACTCCTCTTTCTCAATCCTCTCCCCCCCTCTCACCTCTCTCCTCTCACTCCTCCCCCCCCCCTCTCACCTCTCTCCTCTCACTCCTCTCTCTCTCACTCCTCCCTTCTCACTCCTCCCCTCTCACTCGTTTCCTTCATCTCTCTTCTTCCCATCCGCCCCCCCCCCCTCCTCCTTCTCTCTCTTTGTATTCGTCTATTTTTTCTTTTTCTTTGTGTTTCTGTCTTCTTCTGTGTCTTTTGATCTCTCTTTTTTTATACTCGCTTCTTTGTTCTCTCCTTCGCTTATGCGTTCTCATTACCTCCTTTATCACCTCTCTCTCTCCCTGGCTGGCTCTCGTTCTCTTCCTTCGCTTCTCTCTCTCTCTCTCTCTCTCTCTCTCTCTCTCTCTCTCTCTCTCTCTCTCTCTCTCTCTCTCTCTCTCTCTCTCTCTCTCTCTCTCTCTCTCTCTCTCTCTCTCTCTCTCTCTCTCTCTCTCTCCCCCCCCCCCACACACACACACATAAATGCATACATGTATACTTACACACATACATGTGTGTATGTATGTGTGTGTATGTTTATATATATATATATATATATATATATATATATATATATATATATATATATATATATATATATATATATATATATATATATATATATATAGAGAGAGAGAGAGAGAGAGAGAGAGAGAGAGAGAGATAAAGAGAGAGAGAGAGAGGAGCATTCAGAGATTTATTTGCCCTAAATTTTATGAAAGATTCGTTAGCAAATGGCCCTTGCGGTGTTTCAGTTTGAGTATCCATTTGTTTAATCAGATCGTCGCTTATAACGATAGTTGTCTTTAAAATCCAGTTTCAATAGAAAGGAAAAAGGAAAACAATCTTTTGGTTCTTCAGTGAATCCCTCGTGCATTGGGATACAAGGATGTGGAGGGCAGAAAGGATTTTGTCTGAGTTGACGCAGTTACCCCTGAATTTCTTATCACAAAGAGTGGGCAATTCTCTCGGCAACCTTAAGGGGGAACTTCTTTGGATCGTAGTTTGGGTTCATTCCACTTCAGGTAAAGAAAGAAGATAAACGTTTCTGAAATCTGAATTTATTTTGTGACTCTATGTTGTTGTTGTTTTTCTTTTTGATATAAATTAGACCATTGCAAGTCGACCATTGATGTTAATTTGATTTATTTTCGTTTAGTGTTTGTCTTGTTTTCCTGTCTCCGCCATTCTCACGTCTTTCCTCTTGTTTGTTAATCAGTTAGAATCACACTCATATAGACAGCTATTCGAGGACACACTCACTCATTCACCCATTTACTCACCCAAAACCAGACAGACACCACACACTCTCACAAACGGGGTGCATGTCTTAATGTAGCAGTGTATTTATACCACAGCAAGTTCTCGGTCTGTCATTAGGAAAACCGGGATGGTATTAATATCTTTAAGTAGGTTCTAGGGAAGAGGGTGAGAGTCAGGTGAGCGAAGATGAAATAGGGAAATAATTGGGAGTGAAAAGTGATTTGATATCGGTGATGGTTGGGATGAAAATGATTTTACAGGAGAATAATGAGGTTCTAAGATATGAAACCCTTATAGGATGAATGTAATGAGGGTCATGAGCAGATAAGGGCAGTAGGGGTGTTGAGATAAATATTCCTATAGAACAGAATTCATAATTAGATAGATAAAGGCCTATCACTATAATTATATTTTCGGTAAGGAATCGAGAGTAGGACTATACTGAAATAGTGAGGAATTCATGAGAAAGAGTGAACAATGAGTGCTAATCGTGCGGTGACTGAATAATGAAGTAAGAGAGAAAGGATAGGATGCGGAAATTACTAGGAAAAAACTTTGACGTTTATAATTAAAGGAAATTAAATGGGAAACAAAAGGATGTTGATGTTTTTTTTTTCTCTATATGTGTGTGTGTGTGTTTATTGTATATACACGTATATATATATATATATATATATATATATATATATATATATATATATATATATATATATATATATATATATATATATATTATATATATACACATATACACACACACAAATATATATATATATATATATATATATATATATATATATATATATATATATATATATATATATATATATATATATGCATGTACATGCATCGGCTTGATAAATCAAACGCTGGTGTCGTAGGGGAAGTCACCGCCGCGGCACAAGCCGAACCGCGGTTGATTAGGAAGGGCATCCAATCACGCAAGGGTGGCATTGCCATATAATCTCTCAGCAGTGAACTGAGAGAGGCCTATGTCCTGCAATGGAATGAATGGCTGTTAAAAAAAAAAAAAGAAAAAAAAGAAAGAAAGAAAGAAAGAAAAAAATACATATATATATATATATATATATATATATATATATATATATATATATATATATATACATATATATATATATATATATATATATATATATATATATATATATATATACATATATATATATATATATCTATATATATATATATATATATATATATATATATATATATATATATATATATATAATGTATATATGATTGGTGAATCCTGTTGTTTTACCGTTGTATTCTTGTATACTATTTCTGGGATCTGCTCTAAGGATCTAAGTTCTCAGAAGAGTTTATAGGGCTGTTCGCCAAGTTGTCAGCGTTGAATAGTTGTATTTGTCGGCTTTAAGGAACCAAAAAGTAAAGTTAGTCTCATAAAGTATAGAACTTTATATTCAAAGGAAAACCGTGTCTTATGAATATGTAAACCATAAGTGGCTTAAAATAGACCTTAAGTATTACTAAAATTATGAGCCGCGGTTGCTTTCATATAAGCCTTCGCCTAATGACTTTGTTTTCTGCTTCCAG